AAAATTTCTTATTCGAAAAAAAAATGAAAATTGTTTTTTTTTTTCAAAATGTCATAAAATTTAGGGCGATCACCAGAATCAATTGAAACTTTGTTTTTACCTCATTTTTATATTGTTCTATAAAAAAAACTATAAATACACCGCCTTTTTAACTGGTCAAAGTTTTGCCAAAAATTATATCCATCACCTACGTTTTTTTGGACATTTTTCAAAATTTTGAAGTTTTTTTCTAGAAAGAATATAAGAAACTTTGCAAAACGAAAGTTAGGTTAAGTTAGTAATATTATATTTATTTCAGCATAATTTTAATATTTCGGACACCAAAATAAAAAAAAGTTTATAATATAAAAATTCCAAATATTTTATACTTGAAGTTAATTAGTTCAATTTTATTTAAGCCATTTCCAACAAGCTATCTAGAAGGCAAACTATGCCGCATTTGTGATACATTTCCGTACATTTGTCTATTTGCTCAACATTTGTTGAATTTGTGGTACATTTGCTGCATTCATTGAAAGCACCGCACATTTATTCAAAAATGATGCATTTGTTTTTGTGATAAGCCCTAGGATATAACGTAAACCAAAGAAATTTGAGAAATACAGAACTTATTAGAGTACGAATTCAATTTAATACGAGAAAACATTTTTAGAAATAGTATTGTTAAATTGGACAATTTGTTATTTAATTAAATGTTTTTAGTTATTTAATATTCGATAAAATAGGCTGAGAAAAATGATGTTGTAATTCAGTAATACACAGTGGACACAGTCGATATCTGCTGCTCCGAAGTCGAAAAGACTGGCGGCTGGGTATTCGATCGGGTAGTGTTTCATTGCAAACGATATTGTAATAATTGTGATAAATTCAGTCTGTGGTCAGATGGTGAATAAATAAATAAAAAATGTATCAGTCTTCTCCCACTTCCCCTACAGAATTTATGGGTGAATTTGTAATCATATTGTGGTACTCGGGATAATATTTGCTATGATTTAAGATCGAAGAAAAAAGCAAAGAGTTTCATATTCATTTTTTGAAGTTTGGAATTTCAACCATTTTATCGCATTTATCAATTTCCCAAAGAAAATAATATACATATCATCGTGTATTGTTGGTTTTGTTGTTGACATTGAAAATCACCATTTCGCGACATACTTTAAATCAGATGATTTATTTACTCGCAAAAACCGGTGCGATGTTATCGTCAATAAAATCTCTCTCCGTGTCTCTTTCTCTTTGTTCGTTTGTGCCAATTAATAACTTGAAATCGAAATCCGTCACAAAGTGCCAATATACTGCTACTGGAATTTGAAATAAATAACACCGTGAAACGAATAAATTGCTTATTACATTTATTATAAGTAAATGTATGCATAAAGCGGCATACCGACCAGTGTGAAAGAAATTGCATCGCAATTCATTTTTTATAAGAAAAGATTTCATTTTCTAAGCAATTTAATCTAATTCGAATTGCGTCCAAAAGCGCAGACTGTGAGTGTTTTTTTTTGTTCGAAACACTATTTAAAAAATATCAACAGCAAGATATTTCAAGATTCAACACAAATTGTAAAAATGCAAATCTATTCACATTACGGTAGCAGATCGTGCATCGCATTATAAATATAAGCGTTAATTTCGTTCAGAACTTTAGTATTTTCTTAAGTTTTGAGCAATTCAATAAACAACAGCGATGCGTCTAATCGGTGAAATAACTGTGTTGCTTTGCGTGATTTACAGTATAAATGCGGCTATTTCATATAATTTGAATTCACAAAACCCTGGTAAATTGAATAATAATATCGATGTGATCATGACCTTTATCGGAAATAAAACGTTAAATGCTTTTGTTTTATACAGAATATCCAGGTAAATGTTGGGATGGTTACCGTAAAATGGCATTCGATGTTGGAGTTCATCGGCCGAATAATAGTTGTGAAGAAATCGATTGTGGTCCAACATTTATAGTGCAAACAAAAACGTAAGTGTCAAAAGCATGAAATGCAAGTTATTTTAAATATATTATATTTAATGTACTTTGCAGTTGTGGTGTTATTATGCCTCCGCCTGGCTATCGCAATGAAATTGATCTGACAAAGGAATATCCGAATTGTTGCTTCAAGTTTGTTAAAATTGAGGACGACGCCGATACTGAACCAGAACCAACATCAACTTAAAACAAATTAATAAGTAAATAACATGTGCAGTTTCATTCGCCGCCGAAACAGGTTTCATTGACGATATTGTGGACGCCGTAATCTTTCATAATTAATTTTTCTGTTGCGTATACCGTGTTCCATTAACCCATGGCGATAATCTTTTTTTAAACTTCAGACATGTTTTGAACAATTCCAAATATTTTTTTTGCTAATAAATTAACTTGAAAGAATCAAGTGTACGTTTTTTCTGCATTTTACTGTGTCTCAAGAATGTTGTGCGAAGAATAAATTAACAAACATTGATTATTGAGTACTGTTCAACCATCACGTCTCATGAATTTAGTCCATTTAAATATAGCAAAAAGACAATTTTTCAATCACACACTGATCGTGAACCTGAATATGTGCAACCGGTATTTTTTTTTTCTTTTTTTGAAATCATGTGCAAGGGCCATACTCTTGTGGTTTTCATTGGTATTGATTTTATGGCTTGAATAACGTGATCGATTTTTTTGAATGATTCAATTAACATTTTGGTAGTATAAATACCAAACTTTGCAATGAGACGGCGGTCAGTATTCTTAAGGTTTTCATGACGAACGCAATCGTTTTTTATTCAAAATGTTTAAATCGTATGGAAGTTTGGTTGTTGTGCTTGTTTTAAGTGTAATAGGTATTGTGAATGGTGATTCAAATGTAAGAGTGACCGCACCACAAAAAAATCCAGGTGAATTTGTGTTTTTATCAAAGTGTTTTTTTCATGCTTTTCAATCTAACTTCGAGCCAATCGCTTAGTCTGTGTGAAAATAGTGCGTATATTTAATCAATTTTTCTTCTCAAAAATTAGAATATCCAAATAAATGCTGGGACGAATCGACACAAACCGCTTATTCGGTCGGGTCACATAATCCAAAAAATTCTTGTCAACGCATTCATTGCTATCCAGACTTTCGCATTAAGATCACAACGTAAGAAATGCATCGATTCAAATGTCATTTGGCAAATGCATGTAAAAATTGTTTTTTACTCAATTTATTCAGATGTGGAACACATTCATCGGGCGAAGGTGAAATTGTCGAACAAGACTTATCGAAAAATTATCCATTTTGTTGTGCGAAATTAGTCAAGGCAGAGAAGAAAGCCAAACGTGTTGATCATACGTTTGGTGCAAGTGAGGTGAGAATTAATAAATTCCGAAGCCGAAACAGATCAACGGCAAAGGAGTTGAAAACTAAAACAAATGAAGACGCATCAACATCGACACCATCACTATCAAAAAAACATGTTATCGAAAAAGTAGCAGCTAATGAGAATTCTGAATAAAATACATTGGATATCAATTTAAATCACAACTAGTTTTATTTTTATTGTTTTTAAATGAAGAGATTCATAGAATGGAAGGAAATCAACACCAATGCCACTCGTTAGTTATAACCGCAGATGTTACCCGAAACACGTTTCAATTTTGAGCCAAAAGTTTAGTGACAAGATAACCACGGTTGTTGAGTGGCAACACAAACAAACCATAAATAAATATGTCACTCCAAATATGTTCAGCTTATATAAAGAGTGAACATGTGCCCAATGACGTTAAACATGGCTTAAAAACGAATAAAATATGATGCTGAACCCCAACATTTTTATAATTTTTATCATTTTATATAACGCCGATTTTTTTTTTGCTGTTGCTTAACAGGGCTTGGTTTTTTTTGTAGTCTAATTCGTTGCAAATAATAAGTTACTTGTTCTCGACATTACATTTATATACAAATTAATCTGTTTTGGTTTTGTTGAAAAGAAAATGTAAAAAAAATACACCGCCTGAAAATACCTATAAACAATTTAAAGATCGATATGATCTCAAAATCTCCACTCTTCTATATATTATTTGGTGGTTCAATAAGTCTTTGGCCTGACAACCAGGTCGTGTCACGAATAAAATATCTCTTTATTTTTGACAAGTACCATCTGTCTCCAGACTACTGGAAAAACTTCAGACGAGTCCGTTCACGGACCTATGAGTTACAGCGCTTGAAAGAGACCAACCTCAAAATACACCTTATTTCAATATTTTATTACTTTATTCGGAAGGGAAGGAATTATATTGCACTATTATTCCACTCAGAGCATAGATAGAGGTCCCACCAAGCCACATCGGAAATAACAAAGTGATTCGTTATCAAAGTCATAGAAAATTAATATCACCTGTTTGGCTTTGAGAGACACCAGGTTGTGAAAATTTTGAAATATATTTTTTGTCTCTCAAGACAGTAATCTTTTGATTCAAAAAATTTAAAAATGACATAAATTAATCATTTGGCACCGTTCCAACTTATTTCAGTTGATAAAACAATACTTTCAAAGACACGGTCCCACAAAACGCGAGCTCGAACAAAAAAAAGGGATTATATGGCTTTTTGCGGACATATCGGTTTTTGATGACCGTGTAGACTATACCTTATCCCAAAATGGATTGAATAGGTTCTGTAGGATACTGCTAATTAATTATCATCAAAAATATTTACATTATTTGTGCATAGAATGCTTAAAACATCGCAATAAAACTACCATTCAAAACCATTGTGAACAAATGCGGCAGCCTCCGTTCAAGTGAAGTTTTCTTGCACAAATGTTGGACTGATATATCGAAATGTTCTGTTCCACGTGATGCTTCGGATCTATTCTGGATTATTCACTAGGATATTGCAGACCCTCAAAGCAAGATCTTGGATTTTTTTAATCATTTCTTCAAAAAGAGACATTTTTGGGGTAGTTGTTTTCCGTTGCCTGTATTACCACATGCAAAAGTAATATAGAACTTCTTACTAGCTCCAGTAGATAGAAGAGAGTCTGACACGACCTGGTTGTCAGGCCAAAGACTTATTGAACCTCCAAATAGAAAAAGCAAAGAAAATGTCACCGATCTGTTACTAAATAGGTTTATTAGAGGGTTTAGTGAGATAATTTTGTTTTTAAATCAAATTGGCCCGTGATGTACAGATAAAAAAGTTAAAAGATTATGACGATAATACAAAGACTAAAATTTCTATTGAAATCAAGGCAACAAAAATTTAATTCATTTACATACCACAAATAAGTGAATATGTATAAAAGCAGCAAAAATCACGATCCGTTTTTACATTATAGTTGACTATTGGCAGCGAACGAGTAAGTAAAATATACAAAATGATTAAGTTTCTTCTTCAATTGTTCGTATTGGTGTGAAATCAATTTTCACATAACTATAATGAAATAACGCCAACTAATAATTCAAATTTTCTTAGATTATCCCGGGAAATGTTATTATGAACAAGAAATCTATGAGCCTGGAACCTATTCTCTAGAAAATCAGTGTATGGAAATATCATGTAATAGCACTGGAGACTATAAAATTTACACGTGAGTTGTCATTTTACGGTCAAACATTCGAACAGAATGATAATACATCAAATTTTTATTCATTCAATTAGTTGTTCAGCAATCCTGCCACCTGAGGGATACCGTAATGAAGTTGATAATTCCAAACCATACCCGGCTTGCTGTATAAATTTAGTAAAAAATGAATGATTTCATCAATATGACCAATGGTCAAGATATATTCTTCTGAAATAAATCGAAAATTAATAGAATTAGTTTAATCGTTTCATTTTTCAATTTCTTCATTTTTATTTTATATAGTCTTCCGATGAATGAATAATTTTTACAACTTGAGATCAATTCAAATCAAAATACCATGCCATTGGCTCACCAACTTCCATACACATGAAAATGGTTTCTTTTAATTTGTATTGTGCCTTTTTTTGTCGAATAGCATTACAATATGTTCCAGTAACTTATTCGTGTTCGGTAACATTGATTAGTAAATTCGGCTGTGAAAATTGACTGCAAAAATGGAAATTATCACCAAATATTCCATCGTTTGATTCAATTCATCTTCATTTATGAAATAACCACGCCCATATTTAAATGTATTTGTTTTCGAATTGTATAGGTCAAAACATCATAAATTAGATGAATTCATGGCGATAGTAAAGTTCCAAAAGATCTTAGAAAATTGCGCGCCATTAAAAATCAATGTCGTGATTTTATATAAAAACAGCCGAAATCTAAAACGATTTTTGCATTTAATTGACTATCGGCGAAAGTGAAACGCGAAAAAGGATGGCAAAGTTTCTACTTAAATTGTTCGTTTTGGTGTGTGCTATTTATATTGTATCAGCTTCAGTAACACGAGGCCTCCCAGATCCAAGTATACTATTAACGCATATAGTATGCAATACGCTAACATTTATAATTTCTTTAGAAAATCCCGGAAAATGCAATGATGGAAAAGTAATCTATGAGCCTGGAGTGCATGATCGCAAAAATATGTGTTCGCGAATACAATGCCGTCAAGATGGACACTTTTCAATTCACCAGTAAGTTATATTTGTGGAAAATACGGTCAATCATTCGAACAGAATGATGATACATCACATTTTTATTCATGCAATTAGTTGTGGAACAGTGCGTGCACCTGAGGGATACCGTAATGAAGTTGATAATTCAAAACCATATCCGGATTGTTGTAGAAATATTGTGAAAAATGAATGATTTTATCAATATGACCAATAGTCAAAATATTCTGAAATAAATCGAAAATTGATAGAATTTAAGAAAGTTTAATCGTTTCATTTTTCAATTTCTTTATTTTTATTTTATATATTCTTCTGATGAATGGATAATTTTCTCAACTTGAGCACAATTCAAATAAAAATACCATGCAAAATGGTTTCTCTTAATTTGTATTGTTCTTGTTTTTTATACAATATGTTCCAGAAGCGTATTCGTGTTCGGTAATATTGATTAGTAAATCCGGCTCTATAAATTGACTGCAAAAACGAGAATTAATTCAAATGGATACCTTTGCTTATCACCAAATATTCCATCGTATAAGTAAAATTTGAATTGAATGTTTTCGACCTTTATTTGACACTATGATATGTAGTTATTTTGTTTTCAAACTGGTCAAAGCTATAAATTAGACGAACACATGACGATAATAAAGTTCCAAAAAATCTTAGTAAATTGCGCATCATTAAAAACTAGAAATCAATGAGATCATTGTCGTGATTTTATATAAAAACAGCCGAAATCTCCAACGATTTTTGCATTTAGTTGACTATCGGCAAGCAAGTGAAACGCAAAAAAAGATGGCAAAATTCCTACTTAAATTGTTCGTTTTGGTGTGTGCTATTTATATTGTAGCAGCTTCCATAACACAGGGCTCCTCAGATCCAGGTAAACTACATCTATTTTAACGCATATAGTAAGCAATACGCAAACAATTATAATCTCTCTAGAAAATCCCGGAAAATGCAATGATGGAAAAGTAATCTATGAGCCTGGAGTGCATGATCGCAAAAATATGTGCTCGCGAATAGAATGCAGTCCAGATGGACACTATGAAATTCATCAGTAAGTTATATTTGTGTTCAAACATTTTAAAGAATGATAATACATCACATTTTTATTCATGTAAAAAGTTGTGGATCAGTGGGCGCACCTAAGGGATTCCATAATGAAGTTGATAATTCAAAACCATATCCGGATTGCTGTGTGAATTTTGTGAAAGATTAAACATAATTAGTTTAGAGAAATACACAGAAACTTGATATACAGTTTGTATTTTTCCAAAACAAAGATTATAAACCTTCATTTCGATGATGAAATAAACATTCATGGTAATAAATCTTGATAAAAGAAATCAAATCGTGTTTGAATTTGAGGATATATCGTGGTCTATACATATGGTAAGATGCTGTTGTGCCATTTGTTTTTTTTTCTTAGTTATGTTACAGAATTATAGACTACTAGATTTAATATATACTATACAGAAAATAAGTGCATTCGAATAGTGTGTGGAGAGATTCATAACAGTGGAGAGATTCAACCTCAAAGTTCTTTCTTTATAGAATTCGGTGAAAGCGATAAACAAACAATGAGACAATTGATTTTTATTGTTCAGACTTGAAGGATACCACAATCAAATTGATTATACCAAACCTTATACAAATTGTTGTCTGATTATTGTTAAAAATAATGTCGAGATAAAAAAACCAATGTAATTTGCCTTATTTGTTTTCAGCGAAATCACCGATTGGACTTTAACTTGATCTTTGTATTAAATTGAGCGGATAATCTGTGGAATTACCAATCATTCTTAACGTTTTATTCAAAGTATAAACAAAAATATATTTATTATAAATGAGATTTAACGACCTTAATCACGACAAACTTGAATTTTAAAATATTCGGTAGCTGGCAAAAGTCAGCGAAAAAGGCAGTAGAATAAAAACAAATTAAATTCTTATCAACATCGGCGCCGCTGCTATTACGAAAAAAGTCATTGAAAAAGAAGCAACAATGAAACTTCTGAATAAAATGCAAATGAAGAAAAAGCGCTATCAATCATAGTTTACGACTAGTTTTACTTATGAAAAACAAAAATCCAAAAAAATAATCAAGAGATTCAATCAACGGATGAACACTTATTGATGTTAAACTGTCTGTATAGTGTTCCACTGTTACAATTCTTATCACTTTGCGCAAAACGCAAAATGTCTTGTGCCTTAAGTGAGCTAATTTCGTTGTTTTAATCAAAGTAAGTGAAAAGGTCATAAACTAAACTGCGCCACAACGCACAGCTGATGATGAAAACAAAACAAACACAAAAATACTATTCGTATAGCACGGAATTTAATGAAATAAAAACCAATTATATCATAATATTGTCGTGATTGTGTATAAAAACAATAAAGACTTCAAACCATTCACGTACAGTCAACATTTGACTATCAGCGACGAACGAGTAAGTAAAATATACAAAATGACCAAGTTTCTTCTTCGATTTTTCGTTTTCGTATGCACCATTTATACGATATTCGCTGCCGTTGCCATAGGACTACCTAATTCAAGTGAATATTCAAATGACAAACAAATAATACTCATTTTTTACTCAAATATAAAGAAATCGAACGAAATAAACCAAAAACTAATAACCATATTTTTTGCCTAGAATATCGAGATCGATGTTTCGATGGGGAAAGAACTTATCGTTTTGGTGTCCATTATCCATATAATGAGTGCGTGAAAATTGTATGTTCTAGTGACACCACCCTTCATTTTGAATCGTAAGTGTAAACATTAATCATGATGCTATTGAACGTGTCTTTAAATTATTATTTTTTTATTCACAATTCAGATGCGGTTCGATGAGTTCCCCTGATGGATACGAAAATGTTCCTGATTTATCGAAAAAATATCCAGAGTGTTGTGAGAACATTGTTAAAAAGGAGGATATAGAGAATACAATTGAATAAAATGGAATTTTTATAAAAGTACGAATTTTAATTTGACTTTGTTCGCTTTTGAACTTTGTTCGCTGATACAATGAGCTATCGCTTAACAAATATTTCATGACCCAAACCTTTCAGCAGTATAAATTATACTTAACACGCCACTTGAATGTGTATAGCTTTGTGTAGATGTGTGTCGAACCACTTCTCTGCTTAATTGAGTATGGCTTGGCACAACTAGTTAGTATTAAACAATCTGTCAAACCGTGCAAATAGATACACAATGTACATGGGATTTGTATTGTTTTGTTTGTTGTCTGTCGTTTTGATCTCACCATCGAATGGTGCTGATCGAGCTGTATGGATTACAGGCGAATCAGGTATTCATGCCGATCATCCGGGAAAGTGTTGGTCTTCGTCATTAAATCGTGAATTTAATGTTGGCGAAGAGATAACCGATAAAACCAAATGCGAACTCATACGATGCGGAGCCAATTTGAAATTTTCACGACGAGTGTAAGTTAACACTTAACACAGTGCACTGTGATTCTTGAACGTAAACGACGATTCTAATTTCTAATTATGATTTGGATCTTTATAATAGTTGCACAAATCGTTTGCCTCAAGCAGGCTGTACGAGAATTAAACCGGATTCATCGAAAAACTATCCAGATTGCTGTGGGATGGTGAAGTGTGATCCTGTGAAAATTGACTACTGACTGCGTACCAACAAAAATATCATCTCATTCCAATCAAACTAAATGAATTGCAACAAGTTATGTTCGCCGGAAAGCAAATCTGTTTATAAATTTTTTTAGTAAATTTAACGTTTTCATAGATTAAATAAAAAAATGTGTCTGTCAGTGAAAATACTCTTTGTTTATTATTCTTTCCAAAACCTATATGATTTCAAGTTTGTTTTTTGCGTCAAACGAGCTCTGAGAATGAAATAAATTATAAAAACAACTTGTTTGTTTTTCATGTGAAGATGTTGACGTTATTAAAATCCAATGAGATAACGTTTGATAGATATTGTTAAACAACCTTGGCCAAAACTTTCAGTGAGTTAGAATATGTGTTTGTCTTATTCCTATTTTATGTCATGAAATCATAAGCAATCGATCTACTATTTAAAAACGTAGTACACTCAGCAATCGAAATCAGTTTTATTTGGGGACTTGAATCGTTAAAATCAAATACATAAAATGAAAATTTGTTTAGTTTTGTCTGTGCTTTTTGCTCTCGTCTGTATGAATTGGGCTGCTGTTGCTCACATTCCAAATACAAAGCACAAAGGTATTATTCCATATTGCATTAAATGGTGGACAGTTTTGTAATTGAATTTTATTACTTTCAGACTATCCAAATCAGTGTTATATCGAAAGCGAGAATAAGGCCTATACTTTTGGTATACATTACCCGGCAAAAAAGTGCATTGAACTACTTTGTAACCAGAACTATTCAGTTCAAATACATACGTAAGCCAATACTATGCGTTTTAGTTTAAAATCCAGATTACAATAATATTCAATCATAAAATTTAGATGCGGTAGAGTTTTTACGGAAGAAGGATATCACAACGAAATTGACTATAACAAACCATATCCAGATTGCTGTGTGAATATTGTGAAAGATACACAATAAGTTTCAAGAAATTAATGATGTGCTCTAGTATGTGCACACAAAAAAAATTATAAAGTTACATTTCGACAATACATTTTATTGAAAGAAATTGAATTGAAAAGTGTTTGTTTTTTCTTCTCATAATTTTGAAGTCCAACGTTTTAACTTTATATGAACAGTGAACACATTTCATTTAATTTTATCGGGTAGGACTCAACAGGAGTTGAAGCAGAAATGCCTACTCTAAACACCTTGCTTGTTTTTTCTTCAAATATTATTCCACTTGATGGAGAAAGTTTCAATTGGCAATTTCACAATTTGTAAAGCATAAATCCTCAATTTTGGACCTCCGAATGTAATTTTCGGTCTATTATAAGCTGTTTCGGTGAACATGTTATTTTTACTTTTTGTAGTAGTAACAAACAAGCAAATACAAACTTTAGATGATTTGTATTCAGAGGAAAGTATCATAGGTGTAGTAAAATTGTGATACCCTATAAATCAAGCGAACTATCTATAGATAATTTTCATTCCTTCCGTGTCCTCTGATATTTTTTACATAAACTATCGAGGTAAATGATCAAAATAACTATATTAACTAGGTGCTGTCTGCACTTGGATACCTTTACTTTATACTCGCTCTTTTTCTAACGTTTTTCAACAATAACATTATCACCTTAGGTTCGATAAACTATGGACCCGTTCTAAAATCGGATCAATATGTTTCCGAGCGAGTCATACGAAATATTGACAGGACAACTAGTTCAATAATGGAAAGTGGTTTGATCAGATTTTGCGAAAATTTTTCAGCATTTTTGACGAGAATCCATGCGGAACAATTTTAAAAGTACAAAACTGTACTTTGTTGATGAGGAATATGTTGTGACCATAGGACAATTGAAGATCCCATTGATAATCTATTTGAAAGAAATCAAGAAATCCAATCCGTCGAGAAAATAATATTAATTCACGTTGATAAAATTGTAAAATGTGTATTTTCCACCTTGATAGTAGTATTTTTCCATTACACCGACTGTGTGATTGTTTATATCAGTGTTTGTCGTTCTAACTTTGTGGATAAGCTTATGTAAAAATATTGCAGCAAAATAAATAAAGAACACATAATCAATCAAAAATAAACACTTCAAAGCTTTCAACTTTTTGTTCAGTCTTTTAATGATAAATATTTTTACTGATTATCCTCTAGCTCCGACACTATAAATAAGAAGATGATTTGATAATAATGAAACACAATTGAAATAATTTGATTCATAAACGTGAATAAATTTAAATTTATTTATATCATTTTCATTCTTTGTCAGTAAATTCAAATTTCAACGATATTATTTTTTTTTTTTACTTTGTCGTTTCTGGTATTATTTTGTGATCCTCATCATAAATATCCATTTCTTTAGTTTTATTTTTAATATTCTAACAGCAAATTTGTAATTTATATAGTTGGTTTGTTGTCTTTTTCATTCGTAAATGGCTAAATATATAGTAGTTTATATGAATAATATTCTTTTTTGTTTCTGTGTGTATGTGTTTGCTTGAATGTAGTGTATAATACAAGACATTTTTTTGTTGAAAAAATTGGTTTGGTTGATTGTCATGAAAGAACTGGCGAATCTATGGCTCGCTGCTGCATTCGAAAATCCTTTCATGAGACACATACATGATTTGTTTCACTGTGAATTATGTATTCACATGTGCCCACTGTTCGTCATCATCGTTATCATTATTTCTTAGAATTTTTTAAAATATTTATTTGGTTTTTATTTTCAAATGCCTATAAAATATGCGTATCAATGTAATTTATATTTGAAAATTATGTTGTTGTTGTTATGTTAATCAAAAACGGCAATGTGAAAATTAAGTAGATGATATCGAAAAAAAGAAGATTAAAATCAAAATGAAATGCATATATATATATTTGTAATTTTTGGTTCATTTTTATGACTCAAAAGTTCATTCGATTTTCTAGACACTATACAACCATCTACGGAATATTATTTATAATAATACTTTAGATTCAACTGTATTTAATGGTATTTTGTTTTTATGATGCTTTAACTTGACTCGTATTATAAGTTTTTATTTTGTTTGATCAATACACTTTCAAACGAATGTTCTTTTCTTTTTACTTTCAAGGTACTTGAATACTGGTAATAAAAACCTTTAGTTCATTTGCTACAATTCGGTGTATGAGTGTCGTTTAGATACTTTGTTCCTTTTTTTTGTTTTCATTTCAACAACTGGCCAGGCACTGTCAAAAAATTCTATTCGATTAAAATCATCAAATACGATAAATGGTTACAATTGGTGTAAGCATTAAACAAATCAACAAAATATGGGAGTTTCATGTCTCTAGAAGGGTTAAAATTGGATCAATTTGTACTGCACTACTCGAATGGGATATTTAGTTGAAACCTTCGCTGGCTACTACTGTTAATGAAGCATTTTCATCATTTCGCATATCATGTAATATTAAAGAGGACTTTTTAAGAGTAAACAGTAGTTTATCTCCAGTGTTGCAGCAACGAAATGGAATTCAGGTGAAAATGAAATCAGGATTCTTTGTTCAAAATGGTTTTTTTTTCTCACGTTTCAACGAAACGTTGATACCTAACTAACAAGTCTTTTCGATTTAAAAGTTCCATTTTTTAAGTATTTGCCGCAGACAAGCTTAATTCATAATTAAAACATTTCCAGCGACTGGCAACACGCCGCATTTCAAACATTTGTTTAGTCATTTATAAACATTTCTAGTCAGCTATAATATTCAATAGTTTTTGTTGTTAATGTTTTTTTTTGGATTATTTGAGATATGTATCGTAAACACAGCATATTTTGTTCAAGTTAAATTTGGTTTTATTTCCATGTTTTATTAACACACCCAGTGATTCCTGCATTTTTTTAGGAAACATTTTGATAGCATTTCATCAACTTCGTTTAGATTTGCTTTTTTTCACACGCCCAATAAGTCTTCATTTCTTTTTTTAGTTTGAAATACATTGTTCTAGAGATTGAGTTTTGAAAAAATTGGGAAAAATTTGTTCTCATCTATGGATAAAAACGATTTATCAATTTTAATATACATATTCAAGAGATACACTGTAAGATTGATTATTTGATTTTATATAAAAGTAAAAATGACGTTGCATAACATAAAAATTCAATGGAATGTAATGATTCTATGGGCATTTTAAACCACGAGGTGTACATACACAAAGTGGAATTTTGTACATTTTCATCATTTTGTTCATAATTTTGAATAGTTTTCTTTCATTCTTTCATTGTGAGTTAAACAAAATACAAGACAAAAAAAGAATTATTTTTTTAGCGAGAGAAAACAGAAAAAAAATGTAGTGACACTGCTCATGGTTTAAATTATGCTATAGTCCCCTAAATTTAATAAAAAAATAATATGAAAATTGTTCAAAAAGTTCCACTGATTGCCCGGAGATTGTTTTTGGAATGAATATTGATTGAAAGATGGCGTCTAACTTAAAGTAAAACTAAATTCAAAAAATATCTTATCAAAATAATGTTCTGAGAGTATATTGATTGGTTTTGATAAATCTGGATGAATTTCTATATGGAATACATGTGTTATTTGAGAAGACACTGATTGAATATATATCGATGAGTCTTTGGCATCTCAAATAAAAATGATGTCTACGATTTATGATATACTCTATTTAAATAGCAGAAGAAATTTTTTACAGAAATATCTATATGCAATTACTGATGGTGTTTGTTGCAGCTACTGGTGCATTTAGTATCAGTTAAATGTATATTAAAATCATTTTGTAAAGTTGCTTCAAAAGTTAAGTTCAGTTGGATATTTTAGATCTTATTGTTAAAACATAGTTTAGTTTCATTTTCTTTTTAATTTACTTGTAAATGGACAGAAATTGTATAGAGTTCGAAAGATTCAAAATAAACTCATTTCAAAATCGAATCAAATTAATAACGAAAAGATGTAACTAAGGCCTATGAGCCTATGCAGACCACACCATGCATAAAATTATTTACAAAAAAGGACGAAATATCAGAAGAAACGGAAAAGAGTTTTTTTTTTAAATATAATAAGACATCATAATGCGTGAAGAGAAGGAGAAAATTGGCTTTATGCCATGCTCATTGGCATGTTTACACATATAAGAAGAAAGTGAGAGTATTTTGGTAGTAAAGCTACACAACATCCATCGAAAAAGAGATCCTAACGATTAATATCAGTAGTTTATTTATATTATGTACAAGAGAGTTTCATTTTTTTTTTAGCTTCAGCTGTAATTTTCCGTCATTGAAATAAGACGAGAACATTTGTTTCAATTTAAAAAAAAACAGCAACATCAAAACCAGTTAAGAAGAACAGTCTGTGACCTTATGGCATGCAATGCTGCTTGGTTCATGACACACAAACAAAATGCGCAACTGCAAATGTCTGCAGTCTGTGTAAAAAAAAGAATTTTTTGTTTTATTTAAAGAGAATTGAAAAAAAGGTTGATTGGTTCGAATCACAGAGTTTTTGGTCTCGGCCTCTGGTCAAATCACCGTTTAAACAAGTCTTTTTTTGATTAAGAAACATGGATGTATGCTGTGATGCTGCTGCATTGAACATCATCATGATTTTCGTTTGAATATTTCCATAGGCAATGATGGACGAAATCTCAAACGATTTTCAGACATTGAATGACATTGATCTAATTAGAATTTGAATAAAACAAATAGAAATTGTAGAATAAATGTTCGAACATCTTAACATTAAAGTAGTTATTGCAGTTCCGTAACTTATATTCTTAAAAACAAAAATCTTTAACTAGAATTTAAAAATGCAATTGTTTAAACTGTATATTCTTCATTCTCTCGCTTTAAATGGCATTAATAATCATATCTTTTTTTCATAACATCGTAAATATGTTAACAAATTACTATTTTCTGAGTGAACCGCGAAAAAAGTCAAAACATGAACATCAATTCATTTTGGTGTTTGTTGTTCATTGCACGAATCGTCATTCAAAACGATGCATGCATCATTCTTTCTTTGGTAATAATTTATTTCTAAAACATACTTGCTAGCATATCAATTTGTGGATGTTTTTTAGTTATGCTTTGATGTTGTTCTATATTGCGTTTTTTTATAAATATTTTAACTTTCCAATTTTTTTTTTATTTCGTCTATATCTAAACTTTTCGTTCCGTTCACAATTGTGAAATCATGTCATCCGAGAAATGGATAATATGATGAATGTTTTTTTTAATAATTAAGTAAAACTATCTAATAGAATATGCCTTATTATTTGTTTTTTTTTTTTAATCATTGGCAAAGAGATTAAAGATTAAAGAAAATAGAATAGTACAGATTTCTCAAAAAAAATAAAAAATTACACAACAAATTGTTTTCTATTTGATTGACTGAACTTGAACTCTTGCACATGTGATTTCATTTTTATTTAGTTATTTATTTGTACAAAAGTCATGAGTTTCAGTTTAAAAGAAGAAATTAAAAGCTAGACATAATCAGAGTCATATTATCTGAAAATGGAACATATTCGTACTTTTTTCACTGTACGATGATATCTTTTGGTTTGATAAATCGTATGATCTGGTTAAGCAATGTTGATTTAAAAAAGGGGGTAATTTCCTAGTGTTATATGTTGTGATCAATTTAATCATCCCAAGTTGGAAATTGTGTTTCATCAATAAAAATGCCCGAAAATCCGGCCTTTGTTGGTTGACTAGATTGTGATGGTGGTTGTGCATTTGGTCGCGGCGGTGGTGGAGGTCTACTCTTTGATGAAGATGCACTTGTTGTCGATGATTTAGATGGTATCGTTGGTTTTTTTGCTGTTGTTACTTGGTGCACTTGTGATGGTGCTGGATCATTCCACGAACTATTCACATCCGTAATATCCCAACTATTTGTTGTGTAATTATTTGTAACGGTTGCTGCCGTTGTCCAACTATCTTCGGCCATTTTATTCTCATAACCATGACGATCCCATACGGCCGTTGGTGTTTGATTTGAATAATGATTTGTGTTCGCCTTTTGTGGTGGTGGTTGCAAGTGTGTTTGATCAACCGTCAATTCGATTTCTTCTGGAGCATTTTCCAATGAACTGTTTATGATACCATAGTAAAAGTACATCAATAAACCGAGTGCCATCCACAAGGTAAATCGAACCAATGTCAATATGTTCAATTTGAATATCAAATAGATATTCACAGTAATCGCAATAGCTGGTATGAATGGAAGTCCTGGCGTCAAAAATGCAAGCGCATACCTGAAATTTAATTTAAAAAAAGAAATATTCAAAGCATTTCAATATGTAAATTCCAACTCGGAGAAGTGTTTCGATTGACGAAAACTAACCTATTTTGTGGCTGTCGTGAAATGACAAGCAAAATGCCAATGATTCCCAACGTAAGTAATGTAAAAATGAATCCGGAAAATGTACCCGAATAACTGAATGCCGCCAATAGATCCAAGAAGAAAATTAAAATAAACATGATGCCAACTAATTTTGTGACATACATTCCTGCAAATTGAAATACATTGTATAAATGACACATTTCTTCGATATTTATTTGTTCGGAATGTGTTACCGCTTTCATGTGTGGCTGGTCCAGGGTTCACCCATGGAAATAGTCCCGGGCATAAATATCCATATTCTTCAAGTTTTCTTCCAACAATACCCAAACCAAGATTATCAAATGGTGTAGCAGTGGTTCCGGTTGGTGCACCGTGTACGCTTCCATAGAATTTATTCTCGGATCGATCAGACACAAGAAATTGATCATCACGACCACCCAAGTATCCATCTGGACTTTCATCACCGAATGAATCATCCGAATCCGGTGAACCTCGTGTCACTTTTCTGATAAGCACTGTCTTTTTATTGTTCATTGCAACTTCTGCTAAATCAAATGGGAAAATAGAGAAAAACACAACAATAACAAAACCATGACAATTGTATATACATCGTCTTTGATATATTGTTTGAAGGTAAGTGCTAAGAGATATAAATTACCGCTTGGTAAATTGGTTGGATCTGGTGTGCTTGGTGGTTGTGGTGTGCGTAACTGTGGTGGTAACAGGTCAACCAATGATGTGCTATGTGGTTGATAGCGTAGAACAAGCACACATGTAGACACCAGTGTATATGCTAATAGAGTTCCAATCGACATCATTTCAACTAGTGTCTCTAAACGAATTAATAATGCCACAAATGCGGCTGCCAATCCACTGAGAAGGGTTGCAATACCGGGCGCATTTGTTCGATCCCACAATTGTGCAAGTTTTCGAAAAATGAGTCCGTCTTGTGCCATCGCATAAATCACTCGAGGCATTGGAAACATTGATCCAAACATTGCCACTGATAAACCGGCTGTGGCTCCAATCGCAACTAATGCTTGACACTTTTTCGCTCCAACGTACGACCACATTTGCACTAGCGCTGAATTCGCATCGATTTGATCGTATGGTACGACCAACGTTAGTACCAAACTACTCGTAACATATGCAATTAAAACAATGATCAACGAGCCAACAATTGCTTTTGGAATACTTTTCTGTGGATTGTGTGCCTCTTCGCCAGTTGTTGCGATTATATCAAAACCGATGAATGCATAAAAGCATGTTGCAGCCCCCTTAAATACCTATTCGAAAACGATAAAAAAAACAGCACACAGAGAAATTGCTATTAGACTAAATGTCAATTAATTATTTTGAACTAAAACAATGGCTGGCTGTGTTGAGCTTTGTGCTCTTTCTATTTGTCATATATTTCACACTTACTCCGCTCCAACCATTCGGTAGAAATCCTTCGTGCTCATGCCACATATCTGTATCGATGTAAAATAAACCGGCCGTCATTATGAAAACCCATGTGGCGAAGTTTATTGCATTTAATGCATTATTAAAAATAACCGATTTGCTGGCGCCTAACACTAAAACAAATGTCATCAACAGTGTGATGCCGAATGCAATCAAATCCGGTGTTTGACCTATATCCAAAAATACGAATAAATAAACCAGTAAAATACATTCACGGCCCGTGATATTTGAGCTAATTTGTTTAATTTGCGAATGCGATGCTTACCAAAAAATGTTCCTATCGATCCAGCTATGGCTCTGGTAATTGCTCCGCCAGACAGTGAATCGAAACTAGCGCTAAGAGCACAAGCGCACGCACTTGTACCTGACGAAACGCAGAACAGAATATAAAAAGATTAATTCAATGCACATACCAGACACTTTTTCGCTCCGCCAAAATTTTCATGGTAATATTCTTTATATTAACCCTAATAAATGATTTTATTATGAAGACGAAATTATGCTAATAAAAATCAAAGCCATTTTCAACATCACCCACATGAATTTTTTACGAACCAAACGAAATGAAAGAGGAAAAACGTCGAACGTCTTATTTTTTTTTTCCGAAAAAAAGAGAGAAGAAAACAGATTGCCCGAAGGCAATGAAATGACATTAAAAAGCGCGAGTGCTATATGTTTATACAATGAAATGCCGTTAGCTTCATATACGGTTTTATACTTTATATTACAATTCAACGATGTCAAATGATAAAGCGTTATGTTATGTTGCGAGGTCTCGTGTGACTACTGTTTACTGTAACGTTTTATATTGACTTTATTCCTTTTTTCCTCGAACATTATGTGTATGGTTGGTTGTGGTTTAACGTAATATCTGTGAAACGTTACGAGAACCGTGTGTTGCGGCGATAAGCAATTTTGCGAAATTTCGTTAGATATTTTCAAAAGAGAAACATTTCGTGGCAGGCAACCCTTTATGTGCTGTATAAGATTTGCAAACAGCTCGTGCAAACAGAGTCTATAAACATATATGAATTTTCTTTCAACTTTAGCGCGAGGAAAACGACTGACGTCAAATATAAAGGGCAAAAAATGATAATTACAAGACGCAGGTTTAGAAATGTTGAAGAGTGTAATTCATTTAGCGTCACTCAACGCAACACCCTTTCCATCTGATATACATACATATATTATTCAAGTTAAAACAAATTATATAACAACAAATCACACTTTAGCAAATGAGATTTCACCATAAGAGCCGCAGCAATTTAATGAGCTAAATCTTCCTCATCCTGAACGAAAACAATCGGTAATTCAATTAAAATTTATTATAACGATGGTAATGTACAATTTCATATAGTAACAGTATTACGGCAATTTACCACAATATCTCGAGAAACCATCTTACTATTTGGTTGGAGGAAAATGTTTAACAAATTGCAGGATAATACTTTTTAGTGAACAAATGAATCCAATCTTCAATCGATTTATTAATTATTCGCAAAATCAGTGCAATCTAGAACTATTACAATGGCGTAAAATAATCGTGCGCGAGAAGTTTATGTGGTTTTTCATTTGAATTATTGAAAGCATTGAATTTCCAGTTGAAATGTCAATGACAATGCATGAATGTGTTATGTGAAATGTGAAAATGGGTTGAAGTTTCAGTCAAATTATCGTACATCAATATTGTTTAAAATTCTTTAGCCGCTCGAGGCTAATAGTGTAAATTGATTCAATTAAAACATACAAAGTGATGGAATGCATTAAAATTACATAATTGATTGATTCCATATGGCAATAATTAATCGATTTTAAATATCTTAAATTCATCATCGAAACTTACCAATTAAATACTCTAAAATCATATTCCAGCCTATAACGAATGCTACAAATTCACCAACCGTCACATATGAATACATATATGCTGAACCGGATGTGTGCGGCACACGAACACCAAATTCCGCATAGCAAGCACCTAAAGGAGTAGCAGGCAAAGAACAATTCATTTTCAATTGTAGCGTGATCTTTTTAATGTAGCGCAAATAATGCTTACCTGAGAAAATGCTTGCAACGGCAGCTATAACAAAACTAAGAACTACTCCAGGCCCGGCAATTGTTCGCGCCACCATACCAGCTGTAAAATAGAACGGAAATGTTTGATAAAAGCTCTTAAAAATTCAATTTAACACAGAGAATACGTACCAACGAGATACATTCCGGTGCCACAGCATGAACCAACGCCCAATGACGTTAGATCCAATGTTGTCAGACATTTCTGCAGATGAAAACAGATATAGAATCGTATTTAAATTATTTTTTTCAGACTGCATACGACTATGTTTGTAAAAATAAATAAAAGATTACCGTTAATTTGGGTTTTGTGCTACGTGGATCCTCGGCTTGAACGGAGCGTAAATCTTTTGTTCGTACTAATTTGGAGAATAATGTGAGACCGGTACCACCGCCGGGCATTGGAAATGATAGCTTCATTTTCGCGGAATTTTTTTTTTCGTTCCACTGAATGTGTCGTTCTAATGTGTCTATGTGTTCTAAGAATAAACAAGCGAAAATAAATTGAATAAATAGAAAACAATTGAAGAAAAATAAAATCTATATAATATCAACATGTGTATGAAATAAAAAAGCGCACGACGTACACAGTAAAATGTCAAGAAAAGTACTAATATTCTAGAGATTAGAACATAATTACTGGCGCAATTTTTTTAATTTTAATACAAAATACATCTTTTTGGTAATTTGCGGTAGTACTTTGATTCTAATCTTTAGAATGTTGGTACTTTTCGATGATAAAGTACAAAAATGTGATACATTTAGTACTTGACTTTTTACTGTGTAGAACGTGCACACACATGCAAAAAAATTGGTCGAATTTTTAGAGATTATATTAACTTTATATTTTATTATATCAACAGTGGTAATCAGCATGAGTTTGTTTTTATTGAAAGTTCACAATCAAAAATGTGTAAAAATATGCGATTTTTTTTTGCGTTTCCTGTGTGTAGATGCGTGCAATCACTGTACCAAGCAAAATGGATAGAATTTATTCCTACATCATTAATTCGCGTGTTATGTTCACCACGTACATTGTATATACGTAGAAAAACCGTATGCGACCGTATCTTGAATTCATCGTACTGCGCCTCACTTGTCTAAATAAAGCTTTGTTGTTCAATCTATAAAATGTCATTTCCTATCAAAGATTAGGCAAGCGTGAATGAGTTCTATTTTTTCACTTGTGTGAAGGCACAATCTCTTTTTTTATCATTTGTTATGGAGAGAATTTCATGGCATTTGTGTCATAAATGTGTGTAGTTGTAGCAACGCTACATGTGGCACTTGCAAAATAGAGCGCATTTCGTCCATATGCGGCATTTAATTAAATAAACGCCCTCGCAAACAGAATACAATGAGAATGAAGTGAAAGCACAAAAATAAGAGTTGAAAACGACCTAGGCAAACGAAAAATGTTTTTTTTTTGTCGCATTATCACAGCATTCAATGTGCATGCATTGCTTGGAATTATTTATGATTGTTTCCATGAGACACACGAGAATTGAAGAAAAAAATGGAATTGAAACAATACGAACCGGCATTGGTATGTAAAAACAAATTGCATCCATAAAATGAGAACATACTCACCAAATGGCAAAGAATAACTCTCGAAAATGACGAAAAATTAGGATTTATTGACGCGCGCGCGCACACATTCCATTTTGAATGGGAACGTAGTCGAATGGCTTTATGTGTTTGTTACTATTTTTATGGTGGTCTTTTTGTGTGTGCCATTCAGAAATTATTAATGTCATAAACAATGTAGTAGCTACATTTGGTGGTGATTACGACAAATGCAACAGCACCACGATTATTTTCGCATGCTATTGAATCGTTAACAAATTCTCATGAACCATTCAGAATTACAAATAACAAATCGCAGCGGAAACGATTGAATTTCAACTCTTGTCGAAGTGGTTTTGGCTTTGTGTTCCGTTCTTGTTGAGGAGTGAGCACATTTTTCTCGTGCGTGAACATTCATAAGAATAATCACTGTAAGTTACATGAATCTTTCAATGGTCAAACTTTTACATGGTTAATGGTTGGATATCAAGTAATCAATAACTTCCCAACTGTGAGAGCAAAACACTCGACTACCACAAAGTTAGAAAAAGCAATACATAGCGTCTAACAACAACACATAACGGGAAAAACCACCATTTCGTGTGAAAAATCTTCGTTGTGTTGTATTAAAAATTTAATTTCGACAGCCATATAAATGGTTTTCGTGTTTATCGCTGAAACTATGTGACAGTCACATTTCATTCGACGTTGCTTTATTTCGAAATGTTAAGAAAAAGACAAACCTGGACCATAGCCAGTAGTCACGATGTTATCAGGGTCATAACCATAATTTATATGTGACAAGAAATTGGTTTCGCACTCCTGACACACACACACACGCCCCATTCATTTCAAATCTCCGTTGACGATTCTCGAAGAAAGTAGAAAAGAGTTGAAAAATATCCCCCCTTTCAAAGAAATGTCAAATTTTGTCAACTATGTACAAATTTATCTTGTATGACGTCAAACGGATGTGTAATCAACTGTCTATTGATTTCTTGCGAATGGCTCGTATTCTTTCGAGCACGCTTCTTTCATTTTCACTTATTGCCTACTACTGTGTCTATTCGTTTCAACGATGAAAATATGATTTCATGCTTATTGTTGCAAGACTTTTGTAGAAAGTCAATGTGGAAAATGGACACGTCCATATATATATTTATTTTATTGTATGTCCACATTCAATGGTCGAAATAACGATTGCCAATTGAATTTACTTGAATAGAATCGAATACAATATTCAATGTAATGTGTTTTTTTTTTCTGTGGTGGAATTTTCATTGATTTCATGCTACATTCATTCTGCACATTCAAGCGACAATATGATAACATGAACCGTTGAATTGACATTTTCAAACCCATTCAGTATTTCATGAATTAAACATTATTGCGAAAAGATTTGTAAATCGATCCGCCAGTAATAAAATGAAAATCATATGTTAGAGTGCACTTCACAGCACTTCAAGCTCATAAATAGATGTACGGTCGCACAGAGTTGCAGAAAAGTGCCACGTTGAATATATTGCACATTTTTGGTGAATATTACGCTGCAGATCGTGACTGTCCCATTAATATTCCGAGAATATGATTTATAATTTTGAATACAGAATTCATCAGATGTGGAATTGGTGGATAATAACATATTTGTCGTAGTACATGAAAAAAAGGATCGGCCGAATCAAACGATGAAATCACGCAAATTTTTTTTTGATTCGATTGCCTTTTTTTCCCTCCAAATTGAATGAAATACGGCAAATAAATGAATCACCACAAAAACTGTATGCAACAAAATTGATCTAAAAGCCTGTTTTTAATTGTGTTTTACAGTGCATACTATTTGGGCTTGCACACATAGCACTTTTTCAACCTATGTTTACCGCGCCGCGCCCAATACCAAATTATATGCTTCATGGAAATGAAGCGAAAAAAATACTGTCTCTCAGTGGTATGTGCATTGAACACATTAATACCGGCCAATTGTTTGATTTATTTTAAGCTCTGATTAATTGTCGCTGGTATGGAAATACTGAATACTATATTGAGTAACGTGTATAAAATAAGAGGTGGCTTAAATTGGCTTAAACGATTCGTGAATGGGGAAATTTATGGGCTGCACAATTTGTTCGTTCCATATACAATGTCGTCGAATTGTTTGTGTAAATTTGAAATTGATTGTAAAATAAGCACTCCGCGAAAACATAATCCCTTTAAGTGCGCGGGCTTTTCGTTATTATGCATTCACATATTTTCTCTTATTTTGCGATGGAATTTTCGCCAGTAAAACCGCCGAATCGACTGAAAAATACTTGTAGTGCTTTGTGATGTGAACTATTTAATTCGTTTGGTGCTTCATACTATTCTCATCTCTCTTATTTTCACAGTTTCGCATTCCGCATCTAAAGTTACATTCCATTATGCAATTTAAAATATCAACGATGCAATGCATGTACGGACCACGAATCCACGTATAATGTTTTCCTTTCTTTGCATGAATATATTTAAAGTGGGACGCAAAGTCATTGGAATTGCTCTCAAATTTAGTCTTTTAGCTTAATTTCATTTCCGAAAACTTAATCCACAATCATTAAATGCATTGGTGGGTTCAGTGTCTACTATATTTGGATATTGGTCGAATGTACATGATTGCATGGAATGCTCAAATGCTCATGGAGCATTTTCATTTCGTTTACTAACACGTAACAAACATGAGACAAAGAAAAAACCGAGTGTGTGTTAAAATGAAAAGTTACAACACTTTTTCGCGGAAAATTCTTCATGTCATGGTGCCATTAAATTAATTCACTAATCCAATAAACATTTTTATGTCTAATGTTCACACATTCAAATTATAAATACAGATTATTAAACAGATTATATTTGACGAATATGACGTTGTTGTTATTCTTCTTCTTTTGCGTTGGAGTGCATGACATGACGGCGACAAAGTCAGCGACATGTAATTTGAATTCGAGCACGTTATTATACAATCCGTCAAAGTAAATTACTTTCCGAAAATATCGATTTTTCACTGGCTTTCGACAAAAAAAACCATTCCTAGAAAATTGCCAAAAATACACTATATTTCGAAACATATTGTAATTCTCGGAGAAAATTACTACCATTATTATAACCTTTCGTAGTTCGAGTCGTTTAGTAGAATCTAATTGACTGTTTGTACCACGGCATTTTTAAACTTGGAAACGGAAATAAACGTAAACTTATATCAGCAGGAAGTTCTAACACAAAAACTGGTTACCAACAGTTCGCTTTTTTCATGTTTTCACATTCGTGCATAAAATTTCGACAATTGGAAAAGTTGAGCCACTGGAATTTGTCGTTTTCATTTCATTTGGTATGCACATATTACATTCCATTTTTACATACGATTGGCATACAAATTCATTTCATATCGGCGTCTGTGTGTCAAATGCCCAAGTAAATAAATGTTATGATTTGGAGAAATGTTTGTTTGTTGGGGTGAAAAGGGACTTTACACCGAGTCAAATAACAACAATATAATTTTGGGATAAAATAATATTTTGTTTGTTGAAAACTTTACATGGCACAAATATTGGGGCATAGAAGAGATATATAATTTTTAATTCATTTTTATGAGTTACATGCGCCTTACGAAAGGGCCAACTAAAGTAGAAAAACAAACAAATTCATAGTCGCATTGAAATTTATATTCTCTACAATGGAAGTGGAACCTTTTGTACTCACACGCAGAGCGAGAAAGAGAAGATAACATGGAAATTATGCAGATGAATGGGAATTACTTTGTTAGTACGTCATGAAAGTTGGGTGTGTACTATTTTCCACGTTTTATTTTTGTTCGTGTAATACTTTCATATTATTGGCATTTATGCCGATGGGAAACAAACATCCTTAATATCCTTGTTTTTTTTTTTTG